CCGCCCCTCCCCACAGGCCACGCCCCCATGGAAATCGGGGTTGGGCCACGCCCCCTCCAGAAATCTGGGCCGGGACCACGCCCCCGTTCCAGAGGTTTTCATAAAAGGAAATAGTATTATATCATATGTTCCCCAGCGTCCTGGTGTGAAAATACTTATTTTATGCAACGCTTATTGGTTTTTAAAAAATTCCATATAAGGTCAGTTTCTCTCTTTCCTCGTCGTGGTTAGTGAAATCCGTAAACTGGAAAACGTCTTTGCTGTGGCTTCGATCACAGCGCCTGGTACCTATTGGCGATCAAAACTCCGCCTTGAAATGATTCCTTCTCTGAGGCAAAGCGTTTCTGTTGCGCACTCACCACACAGCAGCCATTGGCCGGCGCTGGGGGACAGCGTTAGTAAGTCCGGCACAGCCCGGTCCTGGGCTCAATTTAGCCCACTTTCCAGGCAAGAAAACAGGCCGTGCGGATCCGTGTGCTGGGCCACCCCTGTGACGGGCAGAGACACCGTGATGACCACCCACCCCCTCCCCAAACTGCGTCCATTACTATTTACTTTAAATGCCTAGAATGTAACACATCTCGGACATTTCAAAATAAAGGGCTGGAGATCTTCCAGAGCTGATGAAAAGCATGAGTTCATCAAGGCTACAGGATACAATACGTAAAATCAACTGTATTTCTACTCAGTAATAATAAAATTTGACATTTTAAAAATACCATTCAAATCGCACTCTCAAAAATGAAATGCCGAGGTTTAAATCTAACAAAATACGGTGTGCAGGATGTTTGTGCTAAAAATGATGGAACACTGACAAAACGTAATTCCAATAAAATTCCAGCAGGTTTTTGTGGTAAAATCTGTGAGGACAGGAAAGGAAGAGCCGCTGCTGAGAGAGATGAACGAAGTGGAGGGTCCAGCTCCAATGTCAGAGCTGCCTGCAGTGTGACTGCGGGGAGGGGGGGGAGCAGAGCCGAGATCCACTGTTTACTGAGCACCTGTCCTCACTGGGCTCCTGCCGGGGAGACGCCCCGGCCTGGGCACAGCCCCTCCTGTCCCCCCCCCTCACCTCCCACCTCCCCGTGTGGGCTGTACTCATCTGTCTCAACCGCGGGCTCTGCTCCTGAGCAAGGAACCCCCCCAGACCAGCGTCCTGCACGTGCAGGGATTACATGGGAAGCTCCCCAGAAAGAGCTGGTCTTCCACCCGTTTCGGGCTTTCCTCCCACCCCACCCCCAATTCCACAAAGTTCACCTGAGCCCAAGGACGGCTTCCGATAGGCAGAGCTGAAGACAGTTCCCTAAGACAGCGGCAAAAACACGTGCGCATCCCACACATACACACAACCCACCAGGGCCGATCCATAAGGAACGTACGTTCGCAACCGCGATAGCCTTTAGGGGTTTAGCCCTTGACCAGGTTCTCTGCCGTTCCCAGCCTTGTCCTTACGCCGCTCTCCTAGCCACCGGCCCCTCTGAGCATGAAGAGCTAGACCGACAAGCACGTCTGCACCGACATGCAAACGCCAGGAGCACAGAAGCAATGGCGGTTAGAATGCAAACAAAACCGAGACGGCACCCCACTCACCCCTTCTAGGAGGCGACACTTTTGAAAAAGGAGGACAAGTGTTGGCAGGAATGGAAAATGGAACCCTCCTGCGTAGCGGGCGGGAGTAAGGGCGGCGCAGCCGCTGTGGGAAAGCGCGGCGGCTCTTCCAGGGACACACACAAGGACCAGACGCCCGGAAACCCGTCGGGGTGCAGGGGCTGGGCGGGGAGGTGTCAGCACCGCACAGGGCGAGTTTGAGGACTGACCCCCTTCCACGTGCAGGGGAGGGCTGGCCTTGGCCTTCCATCCAGGAGTCGCTACTGCGGAAGGGTCCAGGCGGCCGCACGGCCTCTCACACACCACTCACCCCAGGGAGACGGCCGACACAAACCCCTCGACCCTGGCAGGCTCTGCGTCACTGGCGTGTTGGCGGGTGAGAGGCAGAGTCCACGACTTATCGAAGAAGGAGCAAGCTCCAGGAGTTTATTGTTTGACTAACAGAACACCAAGCCAGGCAGGAGCCCCGAGGAGCTGGTGGCCAGGCTCACCGCCGTGTGCCCTGTGGTCCTGCATCTTCTCAGCACTTATGTTTTCTTAAAGATATCAGACACTTACTTTGATCACGAACGCCCTCCAGGGCGAATAAATAAGTGGATTATCCTTTAACACCCCACCCCATGTTCCTTTAAATAGAGAAAACGCTAGAAGTCTCTTCGTGGCCTCTGTGGCCGCAGCGTCCCACCTCCGGTCTGGAGTGCCTGTCCCTGACGTCCTGAGAGCCGTCCTGCCCCGCGCCCTCTGGGAGGAGTCCTACTGGAACTGCCGGTAGTCTCCAAATGGCGAGGACGGCAGCGGGGCCGGGGCCGCAGGCAGCTGGGAGGGGTCGTCAGCAAACTGAGGCCCTGCAGTTCGGAGAAGAGAGTTTTACAAACCACTCGAATATTGCACAGTTAAGAACAAGCCTCTGTAGGAAGTAATACAACCAGCGCAGTGAAAATGCCGTGTACATCAGCGCTCAACCTGAACTCCCTGTAACCCTGCCCAACCCCCACGCGAGCACCTGCGAACCTGGTGTAAGAACAGCCCTAAGTGAGAAAACAAACAAACAGTGCGACCCCAAAGCAATGGCTGAACACAGAAGCAGGAGCCCAGGGCCCAGTCCCACGGCATCCCACGAGCAGTGCGTCTGAAACCTGCCCGGACTCGCGAGTGCCTTGGGGAAGACAAATCGAACGGGGAGCTGTGATCCACTCCCAAGTCTATGCGGAATCTCGTCCAAGCTCCCAAATAATTCCCAACCACGGTGTCCCCTGCCCTGCACACGGCCCCCGAGAGGCAGGTCAGAGCTTCACTACTGCGTCCTGGAACGCCGGGAACACCCCATGTAGACAATCGAGTTGTCCACAGCTACAAGCCACAGCACACACTCACAGCTAAGCACATGAGGATCCCTCAACACACAATTTAACTTTCCCCGATTCGTCGGAAAAAAGAACACTTAGCCACAGAAACCCTTTCCCTGAGAACCCAAGACGGACCCTCCCAGACAGGAGTCACTCTCCACCACTCTTCAAAGCCAGGGACACAAGCAAACAACCGCATTTAGCTGTGAATGTGCTGGTCGCCTTCCCACCGGATGTAAGTCCTTGCGCACACGGTGTCTCCAGCACCTCGGACAGGGCCAGGTGCGCGTGCACGGACAGGTGAGGACTGACGGCCATTCTTTTTTTTTTTTATTAAATCTTTATTGTTCAGATTATTACATTTGTTCCTCTTTTTCCCCCCATAACTCCCCTCCACCCAGTTCCCACCCCACCCTCCGCCCTCACTCCCCACCCACTGTCCTCTTTCATAGGTGCGCGATTTTTGTCCAGTCTCTTCCCGCATCCCCCACACCCCTTTCCCCCCCAAGAATAGTGACGGCCATTCTTGTCATACATTTTCAAGCCCCTCCAACATGACCAGCAGTTTCCTAGCGGGAGCACGTGAGCACTGATAGAACCTGATAGAACCTGGGGACCCTCAGGAAGATCAGCCAGTTATCTGACCACAGCATTCTGGCGACTGTGCTGGACATGACTGAGCCAGCGCCTTTCACAACCCTGACCCACAGCACATCAACGCATAAAATAAGCCGCAAACGAACACCTGTTACAGACAAAATGCGTTTCCTTTAAACGTCAGGAAGCCGTTCCCAATGTTTGAGTGACGGATGAAGCAGAAAGACTCACCGTTGGGGAACTGTGCGGAGGCAAATCTCGTCAACAAGATGCCAGCTCCTTCGATTAAAGCCAGAAGGATGCCGCCCATCGCGGCTGACCCCACCATGGCCACCGGTCCGTCTGGGAACACGGACAACAGAGATCACGTTAACAGAGAGCTGGCTTAAGGCAGACGCAGTGAAGGACAGAGCTGTCATGTGGCTGCACCCCACCCCCTTCCCGAGCCCTTTCCCACTGCGGAGCCAGGGGCCAACAGGCCCAACCCAGCTCCCCGCCCGTTCACGCCAACAGCGCTTCCTGGGACGGCTGTGCTCGCCCACTGGTGTGTGTGTGGGGGGGGGGGGGCTGCTTCCACGCGGTGACGGCTGAGCTGCAGAGCTGAGACAAGGACCTCCCGGCCCACAAAGCCCCAAAGTCACCACCCGACTCTACACCCAGCGAGCCGACTGCTGGCCTGAACTACGAAGCCCACAGGGATTCTGGGTCCCTCTCTGTCCCAAGGATCCAGAAGGCGGCTCTATGCACTTTATCCCTAACCGCCCCGAGCGACAGGAGCCAGGACTAAGTCCGAGACGCCAGGAGGAGGCAGACATGGCAGAGGACGTGAGCTGCTCTCAGCCACTGGAACGTGCGGGCCAGGGCTCCTCGCTCACGCTCACACACTGCTCACGGATCCTCACTTTCCCCCAGTCGCCATATACACTCACGCTCACACACTGCTCACGGATCCTCACTTTCCCCCAGTCGCCATATACACTCACGCTGTACCAACTCAAGCGATGCCGCGTTTTACACATTCCAGACATCAGTAAATTAAGACACAGGGGCTCCCCGCCGTCTGTCCACGGCGTCTGCGCGGGTGCTTACTTCTGGCGGCCAGGATGGCTCCCGTCAAGGCCCCGCTGGTGATGGAGTTCCAGGGGTCCTCTTTCCCTCGGACCTGAACCAGGCTGCAGTCGATCATGGAGAACAGACCTCCCCACACCGCAAAGCTCCCTGTTTTATGTCAGAGCAAAACCGTTCAAATTTTACCTTCTCCTCTTACATTTAAAGTGTCATAATGAAAAATACGTTTAGCCCTAGCCCGTGTGGCTCAGTGGGTAGAGCCTCGTCTTCGACTCAACAGAAAAGTCTGGAGCACAAATGGGAAAGGTGCTTTCTTACCTCCCAACTGCGGAGCCCTGGTTTTAATGGCTGTCAAACTCCCTCGCAGCCGGTGGTTCACTCCCTGTGGAAAGGCAGACAGACGTGTATTCAAAGAACACGGCTTCCAACCCACCGGTGGGGCCCCAAAGGCGATGGTAGCGAACCCCGGTTTCAGGCGGCGATAAAATAAGACACCACTCACCACTGGGGAATTGCGAAAACCTTTCACTGCTTGGAAGATACCGCCGCCTATGGTACCCATGGTAAAGGCCCCACCACAGTCGTCCACAATGCGCCAGGGGCTAAGAACAGGGAAGAGAGAAAAAGAAAAAAGACCTCACTTCTCATTCTCACTCCTAAACCTTAAAACGGTCGTTGCTCACACAGCAGGGTCCTCTGCAACCAACACACATCTGTATCCATATGCATCCGGCCCCAAGTCACCTGAGCTGGGAGGGATGGAACCGGCTAACACTTCACCAGGTGGACCGGTTAGTAATACGGATTCTTTTCAATAGATGGAGTTACACACGTGTGGATATGTGTGCGGTTTGATGTGTATGCTATGTTGCTGTATTGCTCCCTCAGATGACCACTTGTTCCGATCGACGGCACACGCACTTTCTGAGCAGCGCTTCAAAACGTGCAAAGAAGTGGAAAATTGGGTCTCTGGATGGTCTGCCTCAAAACAAGAAAATTTCTATTGGGACGGTCTCCACAAATGACCTGAAAGATGGGGAATGTGTAGCTGGAGAGGGACATGACTTTCAACAAAGCACTTTTGATGTTTCTCTTGAAATCGTGTTTTCTTTGATGACAAAATCCGAATTTTTAACCGGTAAAGGGTCAATCCGCATTACTAACCGGTATCCGCATTATTAACCGGTATCCACATTTTTAACCGGTTAATAGCTAATCCGCATTACTAACCGGTAAACCTGGTATTCATTCATTTAACAAAAGTGGGGGGGGGGGCTGTGCAAAAGCCCACAGACAGTGCGCCATGGGAGTAGCGTGGGGGGCTATATTGTCATCCAGAAAGTGGCCCATCCCTGCCCTGACAGGTGATTCACCCAAACAAACGGGATTTCTCACTGAGGCCCCCGGAAGCCTTCATCGCAGGCAACTGGAAAGGCCATCCTGCCCTTTGCAAGGACCCACCTGTGTGCCTGCCTTTTCCACCTTTCATCTCCTGGACCCAACAAAACGCTGGGCACGGGCCCTCCCTCAGTAAGTGCTGGATGAATGAATGGATGGATGGATGAGTGAGTGAATGAATGAATGAATGCATGAGCGAATGTCCCTTCTGGGTAAAACCGTCGCCCACTCCCGGGAAACGCCCCGCCCGGGACACGCATCGCGACACCAATGCCTCGGGAA